GTCTGGTGATTATGATGGTGGTGATGATGGTGGTTATGGCAATGGTGATGATGTTCGGGGTGATCTAGGTAAGCATAGACCAGGGGGCCACGGCGCGTTCCCCGACAAACGCTTGACAAACGTTTGTCAAACGTTTGTCACATATTTGTCGTTGTAGACGTTGCGGGTTTCGGTCACTACCGAAATTCCGCTACGGGAACTTCGCGTTTCACAGAGAGTATGTTTTCAATGATTTTGCATCATGTTTCATCGTTATCCTGCTACCGATCTTAATTAAAAAACATACGCTTCGCTCTCGGAGTACGCAAGATAAGCGGTGCGACCGAAATTCGCAAGCGCAGCAAAACGCAACCGACAATTTCCGGTCGCGCAGCATCTGGGAACGGCTGCGGTGTGGACAAACGACGAACAATGCACGAGCGAAGACAGGAGGCAAAAAAGGGGGAAGAGAGTGACGACACTCATGCTACACCAGACCTCCGATGATATGATTCGTTTCATCCCTGATAGTAGGTCGGGCATGTCAGCATGTCCTCCTACAGGCGAACTCTGGAAGAAAGGAACACACAACCCCAAAATCGCCAAATATAGTCGAAAGAGCACGAAACATCGTCACCAGACAGAGTGTCTACGATTATTGAAGATTCCTATTGTAAAGGGAAGGACATGCCCAACTTTCCTCGATTTCAAACTCGGTGGTGCCCGTCGTCGCGCCCTGCAGAACCCTCAAACATGCATACCGGGCGAGAGGCTTGCCCCAGGGAAGGGGGTCGGGACCTCGGGGGCCGCGGATTGACCAGATCAGATCGGCGGACGTGAAGGAATTCTCGGCATTTCTTGGAGGGAGGCGAGGGGGGCACCACCGCGAAGCTCCAATGGTACTGCCACAGCCCCTGCGCTGCCTGCAGGTGGTGCCCGCTGGGGCGGACAAACTCTGCCCCCCGCAAAAGACAGCTGGTAGAAGAGGAGCTATGTTGAAGGGGCCCCAGGACACACACATAAATACACACAAATAAAGGGATTCCCGTATATTTTGCCATATTTTCTGGGTTTTTGTCTTCCCCCCCACTTCCCATATTTTCCCATATTTTCCTGAGAGTCGACGATTACTTGTGTCTGTGTGTTTGTTTCCCTCCTGATATGTGTAACAAATATTGCCCGGGCGAGCGGACGGGAAAGGGACGGGGAATCCTCGGCATGAACACAAACCATAACCAACATGCGGGCGGTGCGCTTTCCTTCCACCTCGGGCGATGTTGCCGCGCCTCGGACCCCTGGACCCCACCACGGACCCAAACAGCTCGAGAACTGCCAGCCAGGGCCCTGCTCGTAAACTCTCGCGACGTTGCGATCTTGTCGCAACGTCGGACCTCAAGGAATTGTCGGAGGTCCGCGAGGGTTTCTTGTGTTTGGACGCCCGAAATGGGTACGGAAAACAATGGTACAATGCCCAAAAACACATGTGGTCCCAGACCAACAGCGGCCGCTGTTGGGCAGGCGGTCTCCTGTCTCGAATGGGCACAGGCCGCGGCGGCGTGGACATCGAACCCTGCTCAAAATGAACAGGAACTGCTCCCAGGGAATGTGAGCCAAATGGGGGCCTTCGGGCTGGGTTGGGGTGGTTTGGTGGGTGGTGCGCCTCCGCATGGCGTGTCGCAGCAGCGGCCCAAGCGAGACGCCGTGCCCTGCGAGCAGATGACGCGCCGCTCCGCTCCGCGGGGCGGGAGGCTGGGCAGAGCTCGGGACGTTGGCGCCATGGGGGGTCGGGAGGTGGACAGCGTGTCGCGCCCCAGCGTGGTGGGCCATGACCGGCGGAGGGACACGCTGAGCCAAAGCCCTTGATCGTAACCGACCGGCGCTCTGATTTTTCGATGCGTGGCCCCGGAGCTTTGGACGGCTTCCCTATTGGACCGGTTCGTCGTCCTGACTCGCCTTCTGACGGCCCCGGCGCCTGTTGAGAGACCCCGTGGAAGCCGAAAGTATGCGAAAACTGGCCGCTCCATTTTTTCGGAGCATCGGAAATCTGGGAATGCTCCCTTTCTTGTTCTTCTTTTTTGGAAGAGGAAAAGGAGAGAGTGTGTGACCAAAGAGCTGTTCACCCGACTCTTCCTCGTCCGCTGCGCGAGCCAAAATTTCGCCAGGCAAACCGGGAACACAACACGAGCCTGAAAGATAGGAGTGAGCGTCCTAGTTCGATTCCTGCTTCGCGCCACGCGGCTCGCTCACTCCTCTTGCAGGCCACGATTTGGTGCATGGGCTCGCATATCGCAGGTCGGCAGGTGTGATGCTCCAGGTCTACCCGGCCGTAGTTGTTCTCAAGAACGCGGGAAACATTTTTCTGTTTGTTTTTTCCACGTCTCGCTTGCGACTCGACCAGCACGTGTTAGAAACGATGCCCGGAAGACGGACGCCAGGCAGTCGGCACTGCGATGCCAAGGAGCGTGTGGAAAGCACCATTGAAAAAAACACGGAGAGAGCACGAGCAATTGTGGGCCACGGGCCGACCCCGGACCCGGAGAAAGAACAGACACGGTGCCCAGAGCTCCATAAGAACAAACGTCGATCTCGAAGACGAAACACGAGCGCCCCCCCCTTGCGCTTTTCAGAATATCCAGGTGCCTGGCCCACGCTAGGGGAACGAAGAACGACACAAAAACATAAAAACTCGAAGGCCCGCGCGGATGTCTCGGATCTGCGCTGGGGCCCCCCTCCCTGGCGCGCGCTGCGTGACAGTGGCGGCGCCGGAGGCGCCGCCAGGGGGCCCCAGCGCGGATCCGAGAAATCCGCGCGGACCTCCGAGTTTTTATGTTTCATGTCATTCCTTCTTTCCCCCCCTACAATGAAGGGGCCCCAGGACACACACACACACACACACACACACACACACACACACACACACACACACACACACACACGTAAATACACACAACTAAAACTATTCCCCATATGTTCCCATATTTCCTGGGTTTCTGTCCTCCTCCCCACTTCCCACAATTTCCCATATATTTTCTTGGGAAGCGAGGATGAATTGTGCATACGTGTGTGTTTTTTCCTCTCCTGGTACAAGCCCTTCGTATATTCTGCCCCCCCGACGTCCAGAAGAGGTGCGGGGACTGGCCCGCCCAGAGGCTGCCGGGCCCCAGCTCGGCGCCGGGCGCGGCGCCGGCCGCGCCCTCGGCCCGCTGGCCGCGCCGCGGCTCCCTCCACGCCGCGCCGCAAGGTCGGACGAGAGGCGGGGTGAGCTGGCGGCAGGCCTGCCCTGGCCTCTTCGGGGCGACAGCGGCGACGACCACCAGAACGACGACGAGCGCGACAAGCACCACGACCACGGCGGCCAGGACGAACCACGACCGAGACCGCGACCGCTACGACGACGACGACAACATCAACAACAACAACAACAACAACAACGACAACAACAACAACAACAACAACAACAACAACAACAACAACAACAACAACAACAACAACATCAACAACAGCAACAACAACAACAACAACAACAACAACAACAACGACGATGGCGATATCCGACAGCCGACCACCATGACGGATGCAGCGTCGACGGCAACGGCGATGGCGCCGACGGCGGCCACGACGACCACGGAGCCGTCGACGACGACGCGAGGACAACGATCGGCGGCGAGCCCAGTAGGGAAGCGAGAGGGGGGAGGCCTTCTGAGAGAAGCCGACTCTACCTTCGGGGAAGGCCTCCTGAGCTTCTCACAAAGCTGGAGGCCTTCTGAGGCTTCTGAGAAGGCCCGCCCCCTGTCACTTCCCCCACAGACCCGCCGCCGCGTCAGAGGGGAGGAGATAGCGAAACTGCTGGACTTGCATGTTCTAACCGCGCATCGGCCGCTAGAAGCCTCGACCTTCTTGGCAAGGGCAGGGTGGGAAATCTTCTGCCTTCAGTGGGCTCATTGCGGCCATCCAGTTGGCTGAGGAGCACTCCAGCAGGAGCGCGAGACGTCTCTTGCACCAGAAAGCGGGCGCAACCCGCCGCAGACATGAGCCTAAGGAGCGCTCCCGCGGGAGCGCGAAACGTCTCCTGCACCAGAAAGCTGACGCAACTCTCCCTCCAACAGGAAGGGTAGCGGACAATAAAACAAAAGCCACAATCTGGGACATAATCGTATCGGGATACATCGGGGATCTCTGAGAAGCGGCGGTTCGAGGATGTGTCGGGCGCCGCGGCCGTTCCGGGGCGTTCTGGCAGGCTCTCAAAGCTCTGCGCAACGCTCTGGATGAAGGGGCCCGAGGACACACAAATAAATACACACACATAAAAATATTCCCCATGTTTTCCTACATTTTCTGGGTTTTTGTCTTCCCCTCCACTTCCCATATTTTCCCATATTTTCTTGGGGATCGACGATTAATTGTGTCTGTTTTTCGTTCGCTCCTGACTGGAGCGAGTCACCCTGTTCCTCCTGCGGGGCCCGCTCCCGGCGCCGGGGTATCAAAGAAAGCTCTCGGCGGCGGGGCCGATGATATCCGTTCCTGATGGCCTCAGGGACCCGCAACGGGCTCCAGGGGGCCGAAGAATAGAGGAGGAGCGCGGAGACTCGAAGAGAAGAACTCGAGGCCGCAAGCGAGGAGAAGTCGAAGCCGAGATCGGGGAGATCGTCCAAGGTCTGGGCGTTAGATCGGCTACACGCAAGAGTGGCCCTGGGTGAGAGTGACCTGTGGTGCGCGGCTTCTTCGGGGCCGCGGGGGGGGGGGGGGGGGGGGCGAACGCGATCGCGAGAGGCTTTACTCTCGCACCGCGTTCGGCGATCGGGGCACCCAAGTGGGCCCGCACCAAAGGTCAGTGACACTCTTACTCGGGGGCGGCCAAGAGGGGGGCGTCCAAGAGGGGGGGGGCGCAAATCATGGCCCGAGGCATGTGCGCGGCCCAGGGGGGACCAGGGAACGTATTGAAATGAGAAGAGGCGCCATGAAATCTGGGGAGATATCATGGCCCCCGCCATGATATCCACACACCCCTGGTCATCACCCCCCTCTTGGTCGCCCCCGATCCTACGTGTAGTCGATTCGATCCGGCGGGCTCCGTCCGCCGCCTCTCTCCGGCCCGACGCTCCCAGCTGCCGCCTCGGCGTCGGGCCAGGCGAGGCCCGCGGCCCCTGGGCTCAGCCGCCGGCACAGCGCACGCCAGTCGACCTCGGCGGCGCCCACGGGGGGGGGCCCGTTGGGACGAAGCCTGGGCGAGGACAACATCGGGTAAGGAGGCATCGGGCATCTCTGAGATTCGGCGGGTCTGGAGGATGTCTCGGGCGCCGCGGCCCTCGCAGAGCGTTTATGGAACGCTCTGAGAACGCTCTGAAACGCTCTGGAACGGATTTGTCCTCGTCCTGGCCCCACACGACACGCGCATCGGATCTCCAGGGAATCGAAAACGAGCCGGATCGAAGTGGCTGGAATTTGTGTGGAATGGGATCGATGGGATCGAAAGGGGCCCTGCACAGGTCCTGGCGGCGCGGACAAAAAGGGGTAGGGGTAGGGGGGGAGGCTCCTCGGAAGGAGGCCGCTTCTGAGAAGGCGCCAGCCCTACATCCACCGAAGGGGCCCGCGCCGTCTCGGAAGAGGTTACCAGCCTGGAACATATCCCTATCCCTATGCTGGGCACCTCCTCATCACGATGCCAATCTCAAGGATTCCCTTATGTTTTGAGGGCGAATCCCTGAGATTGTCATCGCCTTTTGGCGTGTCAATCTTAGGGACAGGGCTACGTTCGAGGCTGGTAAAGAGGGGCAGGGGCAGGGGGGGGCAGGCTCCGCGGAAGGAGGCCGCTTCTGAGAAGGCGCCAGCCCTACATCCACCGAAGAGGCCCGCGCCTTCTTGGACGAGGGGGTGCTTCTGAGAAGCCTTCCCTTACCAGCCTCGAACGTATCCCTGTCCCTAAGATTGACACGCCAAAAGGCGATGACAATCTTAGGGATTCGCCCTCAAAAAGTAAGGGAATCCCTAAGATTGGCATCGTGATGACGAGGTACCCAGCATAGGGATAGGGATATGTTCCAGGCTGGTAATTCCCCCCTGCGTCTGCCCGCTGCGCGCGCGGCCGCCGACCGACGAGGGCTCGGCGGCGGCCCCGCCGAAGGCGCCCCCGAGGGCGAGCCACACGCCGCGGGGGTCGCGGCACGAGGCGAGCCGCCGCCACAGCGCCGGGTCCGCGGACAGCTCCTCCAAGGAAGGGGCATGACGACGGTGGCGGGCGACGATGGACGACGACGACGACGACGACGACGACGACGATGACGATGGACGACGATGGACGACGACGACGACGACGACGACGATGACGACGGACGACGACGACGACGACGACGACGACGACGACGACGACGACGACGACGACGACGACCGTCGACGACGACGGCGGGCGACGATGGACGACGACGACGACCGTCGACGACGACGGACGTTTTTGGCCTCTGGGGGCCTTCGCCGGGTCGGGGACCGCCCACAAAACTTCTCGGGATGGATTGCCGGCCCTAAGGAAAGGGTTGGGACTCCTTGGGGCTGAATCCGCCGATCCCCGCTTGCCGGGGGTGAGAAGGCGTGTGAGATAATTGGCTGTCCCCATCCCTCGGCGTCCCCCTGGCGACTCTGGAGCTTACACACCTGCCTTCCCTGGCCTCAAGAACGTACAAGACGGTCGCGAATCGCCAAACGACTGGCCCAAGATGCCCACGATGGCTCGAGGACATCCAAGACGACTTCGAGACGCCCCAAGAGAGGCCCAAGAGCCTTCCAAAGATGGCCCCGAGAGGTATATCTATATTGTATAAAAACTGCGGATATCGTCTTCTGGAGCTTCCGACGCCGACTTCGAGACACCCCAAGAGCCTTCCCCGCAGGGCCCCGAGAGGCACAAATCCATACTTTTCCTGAGGTATTTCAACAGTTCTGAAGTTATCGTCTTCTCGAGCTTCCAACGCTCCAAGACGGCCAAAGAGGCCCTGGCCCCAAGAGAGGCCAAGAGGGCAAACACGAATCGAAAATCCGATCGTTCCGCCCCAAAAGGCCCCTCCCAAGCCCCAAGAAGCCTCCACGCGGCCCAACAGAGGCCCCAAATCAGCCCCAAAAGACCCAAAAGAGGCCCCAGAACGGCCCACAAGACGCCATCGAACTGCCTCCAAGAGACCCAACCAGGCCCCCAAACAGTTCCCAAGACGCCCACAAGAGTCCCCAGATAGTGCACAAGAAGCCCACGACGCCTCAACAGGGGGTCGGCGGAATGACGCAAGCCTCTTCAATTAACCAAGACATCGCATGTCTGGATACCGATATCGCTGCACGCCCTGGAGAACCATCGTCGCCGCGGCAGGATCCTCCTCGACATCCAGGCCAAAACGCACTCAAGGAGAAGTTCCAGGATCTTCTGACCCGGGTCAATCCAGACCCGGGTCAGTCAGGCCCTGGAGGATCCTGCAAGATCATGCAGGATCCTGCACCCAAACACGGGTCGGTGCGCCCCTGGCCCTGCAGGATCCTGCAGGATGCGGCGCTCTGACTAGCCCCCGTTTGCACTGACCTTGGAGGCTTGGAAATTGACACCAACACCAACAGAGGGGGTTGCCTCCACAGGGGGAAGATGATCCTAGATTTTGGTGTTTGTGGTAATATGTCGGTCGCCTTGGAAGCCATAATATTACCACCATCACCGAGATCTGGATCGTCTTCCCTCGGTGGAGGCACAACACCGATCTTGGTGTTGGTGTCAACCTCTAGGCCTGCGATGACCCCCGTCTCTTGAGCCCCGAGAGGTCCGCAGAGCAGTGGTATCGGTAGCTTTTTGCGCTCCCCAGCTCCGAGGGCGACCGGGCGGCGCTGGCCAGCGCCCCCAGCGCGCCCTCGTCCAGCCAGAGCAGCAGGCTCGAACACAGCGGGCCGGGCAGCTCGGTGAGCATCCCCCGGGTACAAGGCAGAGGCCTCCAACACGAGGTCCGAGTATACGGTCAGGGACATTTGTTTAGCGTGTCGCTCAGCCGCGCGGGGCAGGAGGCCAAGAAAAGCTCGTAACCTTGACGCCGGGGGAATTGGACGCGGTCAGCGCGTCGAGCCGAAGCATGGTGGGCCAGAACCGGCGGAGCGACACGCTGAGCAAACGCTCCCGTCCGTGACAGGGCGGGGTGGGAGGATTGCGCCGCCTCGACCACGCAGCGCCGATGCATCGGCACGATCGGCGGGCTCCAAGTCGATCCGCATCCGCTGGGACCCCATGTGGGAGGCCTGCGCACAAGTGTTGTCAGCGGGGGAGGAGGAGCGGAGTCCAACAGACGACAGGAATAGAAGGGGGAGAGCACAGTCGTGAAGAGGCGCAGGCGGCGCGCAACTTGGGCCGATGTTTGAGCCAGGTCGGAAGCCCAACCCGCAACCCCTGAGCTTACAGCGGAGGCTGCTGGTGGAGGAGCGGAGGCTTCTCCGAAGCCGCCACCTAGGGAACCGAGCTCTATATACACCGACGCCTTTTTCTGGCCCTGCACTGTAGCTCGCACAGGAAAGCAGATCCTGGTGTATACGGGATGCTGGTGTATACATTGTTTGCCATTTCGCCAGGAAAACGGGGAAACAAATATACACCACTCCCCCCTACGTCGTCCGTGGCCCTCCAAAAGTCCAGGGATTCAAAAACAGCACGCCACTGGTAATGTATATGTTTACAGTTTCCGACCACAGCCACCACCACCACCACCACCACAGCCACCACCACCACCATCTGGAAGTCGTGGTTCGTGCTCGCATCATGCGAAAGGTGACCGTCGGGAACAAACACTTCCCCTCCTGCAGCCCCACCCCCCAGCAGTTTCGGCTACGGGTACGGGGGAACGAGGGTCGCGTAGGTGGGTCGCGCGAGCGGGCCAGCGCGCACAGCGGTGCTCTCCAGAACTGATATAAAAACAGCCCGCCGGGGACGCAAACCTCGGGTTTCAGGAAACGTGGGTGGGTCGCGGGCCGGGTCGCGGGTGGATCGCCGGCTGGTTCCCTGCTGGGTCGCGCAGGGGTGCATCGCGAGACGAGCGCGGGTCGCAGGCTGGGTCGTGCCTGAATCGCGGGCTGATTCGCGGGCGGGAAGCTGGCGGGGTTTTCCGGGGGGGTCGCGGGCTAGGATGCAGGTTTACTGCGGTCAAGGACAACAATGGGAATCCTCAATGCGAGCCCCCATTCTGAGTGTCGAGAGGGTCGCGGTGCGATGCGGCGTCAGGGTGTCGTGGCATGGTGGTGTCGTGGGGTGTCGTGCCTTGTCGTTCGGTGTCGCGGTATGGTGTGGTGGTAACGTGGTAACGCGGTGCCTTGGTGTCGTGGAGTGGTGTTGCGGGGTGCCATGGGTGTCGTGGTGTGTCGTGGTGTGGTGGTGGTGTGATGTCGTGGTGTTGTGGTGCCATGGTGGTGTGTCGTGGTGGCGTGGTGGGATCGTGGTGTCATCCTGACGTGGTGTCATAATGTCGTGGTGACGTGGCGTTGTGCTGACGTGGTGCCGTTGTGTTGTGGTGTGGTGAGGGGGTGTCAAGGCATAATGGAATCGTGGTGTCGTTGGGTATCGTGATAAGCCGTGTTACGCCATGATGTGATGGCGCGATGGGGTAGAGTCGTGGTGTCGTGGTGCCGTGGTGGTGTGGTGTCGTGTAGTCGTGACGTGGTGTCGTCGTTGTGTGGTTGTGTGGTGTTGACGCGGTGTTGTGGATCGTGGTGACGTGGTGTCGCGTAGTGTTGTCATGGTGTCACGGTGTCATGGTGTAGTGTTGTCGTGCTGTCTTGGCGCGTGGCAGAGTTGTGTGATGAAGCCGAGGTGCCAAGGTGTCGTGGTGTCGTTGTGGTGGTGTTGCTTTGCCGTCTTGCGATTGTGTGGTGTCATGGCGGTGTGTCGTGGTATCGTTTGGTGATGGGTGTTGTTTAATATCATAAAGTGTCGTGGTGTGTTCGTCTCGTGATGTCGTGGTGTCATGATTGGCACTTTCGTGGTGACATGGAGTCGTGGATCGTGGTGTCGGCGTGTGATGGTGACGTGGTTTCGTGTTGTGTCGGTGTCGTTGTGTCGTGGTGTGTCGTGGGGTGTTGCGGTGCGGTGCCGTGGCGTCGTTGTGTCACTGTGGCATGGCAATGCTGCGTCGCAGTGTCGTGGCATGTGAAGGTGTCACGGTTTGGTGTCGTGCTGTAACGGTGTGTTGCATTGTGGTGGTCTCCTTCTCTCCCGATGTGTTGTGACGTGGTGGGGCGCCATGGTGGTGTCGTTGTGTCGTGGGGTGTCGTGCTGTGCCGTGGGGGACCCGTGGTCTTGTGACGTCGTGGTGCGATGGCGGGGTGGTGGTGTGGCGTAGTGGTGTCGTCGTGTCCTCATGTCGTGATGTCGTCATGCAGTCGTTGCGGTCGTTGTGGTCTGGTGGCGACGTGGTGTCATGGCGTCACAGTGTCGTGGTTGCGTGGCTTCGCGTGATGTAGTGGTGTGTTTGTGTCGTGGTGTCGCGGGGTGCTCGGTGGTATGGTGACTTCGTGGCTGTGTGGTGTGGTGTGGTGTGGTAGTGTGACGACGGGGCTCCTCAGCTTTCAGGAAAACATGTGGTGGTGCTGTGTGGTGGTATCGTGGTGTGGTGTTCACGTGGTCACGTGGTGCCCTGTTCGTCGCGCGGTTGGTCATAAGCGCTTCTGCTCTCTTGACTTCAAAGTATTCTCGTAATGTTGACCCGGCTGATCGGTCCGTTTGCTCAGAGATCCGACGTCGTGCTTTTGTCACGGCACCAGGCGTGGCGAGTGGGCCCCCAGCAGAAACACAAAGGCGGAAAGCAATTACATTCATGCCAACCCCTCGCTCCCCTCTCCAGGGGCTTCTGCAGGTACGAGGTCTCCAGAGGCATGCGGAGACCTCCAGAAACTGAACAAAGAACATAGTGAAGAACATTTCAAAGCCTCGATCCCTGAGAATCGAGGAGGACCGAGGCGGAAGAGGAGCCTTCATCCTCCTCGAAACTGTTTTTTTGCGTTATAGAGACTGCCAGGCCTCCTCGGTGCTCATGCTGGCGGGGAGCTTCTTGATGAGGGCCTCCAGATCCTCAAGGTCGTCCCTGCCAACGTCGTCAGGGTCCTTGTGGCAGCCACGCTGTCATTCCGCCCCCTCTTCTTCTCCAGCCCCTGTTCATCCTCGATCCTTTTGACACGAACATTCTTACTCACATAACATTCACAGATTTAAGAGAGCCTGGAATAACTTAACTAGGTTCTGACGATGCTGTAGAAACCTCAGGCTCCTCATCTTCACTCCTCCTCCTCCTCCTCCTACTCCTCCTCCTCCTCCTCATCCAACTCCTCATCCTCCAACTCCTCCTCATCCTCCTCCTGCTCCTCCTCCTCCTCCTCCTCCTCGTCCTCCTTCTCGTCGTCCTCCTCCTCCTTCTCCTCCTCCGCCTCCTCCTCCTCCTCCTCCTCTCCCTCCATCGCTTTCGTGCTTCCTTCATCCTGCTAGCCCTCTTCCTAATCATCCCGCTCCTGGGTACTCCACCTCCTCGTCCGTCCGTCCACCTCCGCCGCCTCCTCCTCCTCCTCCTCCTCCTGCTCCTCCTCCTCCTCCTCCTCCTCCTCCTCCTCCTCCTCCCCCCCTCCTATTATTCCTCCTCCGTCTTCCCTCCTCCTCATCCTCTCCCTAATGAATCCCATGTCGTCTCTCCTCCTCCGCATCCTCCTTCTCCTCCGTCCTCTCGCTTCCTTCGTCCTCTCCACCTCCCAGGCCCTTCCTTCCCCACCTCCTCGTCCTCCTTCTCGTCCTCCTCCTCCTCCTCCTCCTCCTCCTCCTCCTCCTTCTCATCACCATCCTCCTCGCCTTTCTTCCTATCCTCAATTCTCCTCCTCCTCCTCCTCCGCCTGGTCCTCCTCGACTCTCCTCTCCCTCCACCCGCCGCACTTTTCGCCTTGGGGGGCCCCTGCAGCAATTGACACCCCCCGCAAAAGTGGAGCCCAAATGGGGCTCGAGCAGACAGGGTCGCCGATGCAGCGACGTCGGGGTGGAGACCATCGGACTCCAGATCGCGCAGCGTCGCCGATGCAGCGGCGATGCGGCTGCAATCTCTGAGGCCTGGAGCTCCTTCCCCCACCCCCGCACCAGCGCGAGGCTGTGGCGCAGGCCGCCCGGACCGGAGCCCCGCAGCAGCGCAAGCTGCCAGGAGGAGGAGGAGGAGGAGGAGGAGGAGGAGGCGGAGGATCTCTCCTAGCACGAGGGGCGGCAGGAAATGGGTGGGCTCAGCGCAGCAGGCGCGCACGCAGCCGAGTCCTCCTGGCGCCGGGGGCGCCAGTGCATCGAGGAAGGCGCACGGCGGAGGGGCGGAGAGCAGGTGCACGCAGCACACCTCGGACCCCCCCCCCTGCGCCATCCAATGACCCCCCTCCCAGACATCCGACAGCGTGATTTTCGATAGCCTGCGGCCCCAACTGCTGCCCTGGAGGTATGTCCGTGTCCGAGAGCCCCTCAGCCCGATGACGGCACCCAGAGGCCGAAAGCAAAGAAAACCGCCGCGAGAGGCTGTCGTTGAGGAGGAGGAGGAGGAGGAGGAGGAGGAGGAGGAGGAGGAGGAGGAGGAGGAGGCGCAGGGAGAGAAGAAACTCAATTGTGCACATACGCCGATCCTGTGCGGGCCCCTCCTGGGCCCATGGCAGAACAGGTGCACATGCCCTCCTGACCTTGCCAGGGGCACTGCGCACCGGATGGGCGGGGCCAGATCCAGTGCATGTGCACATCTCGTCGAACGAAGAAGCGCTGATATCTGGCGTCGAGAAAACAATCAGCAGTGGAAAACCATCGCCGTCCCCATCTCTCATCTGCATCCCTCGACCAAGATTCATCTGCGAGGACCCTGGGGCCCGAACCCTGGGGCCCGACACCAGGCGAAGACGCCCGAGGTGGGACAAAAAATGCAGCGTCCAGATCTCCCAGGGAAAGAGGAGCGGTCGCGGCGGGGGCGTCCATGGACATGGTGCACAGCGCCCGCGAGCACTCGCGGCCGCCGAAGAGGTGGTACGGCCCCGGCGGCGAACGGCCGTACATGTCCGGGCGGCTGCTGACGTCGTAGACACGCCCGCAGAAGCTGAGGGCGCCGGCGCGGTCGGCGTCGTCGTCGCCAGGCGAGGAGGAGGAGGAGGAGAAGGAGGAGGAGGAGGAGGAGGAGAAGGAGGAGGGAGAGGAGGAGGAGAAGGAGGAGAAGATAGAGGAACGAGGAGGAGGGATACGGAAGAAAGAGAGGGAGAGGCAGGAGGAGGAGGACGAGGAGGAGGAGGAAGAGGAGGAGCAGAAGGAGGAGAAGGGGGAGAGGACAGGGATGAGGAAGAGGGAGGCGGAGAGAGAGAGAGAGAGAGAGATGCCCTTTACTCGACGATGGAGCGTTTGTGCTGGAAAAAGGCGTGGTATTCCATATTCAGCAAGACC